GATAAAAAGTACCGTACTTTTTTATCCACCCAGAATTGTAGGATGATCAAGTTGGTTTCGAAGATATTGTGGGGAGTGGAGATGTTTGATCGGGTAACCTCATAAATTGATTCCATCCTTTTAGGCTCCGACGAAGGTGGTTTCACCGAAATGTAAGCCATTAAGGTATTGTAAACCTCGTGTGGGGTCGTATGAAGAACACCCCTTTCGTCCGGAATACTCGATTCCACGATCTATGAAGGGCGCCTACCCACTATCATTCCGAATAACCTCGCCATCTGCTTAGAGTCTTGCTGTTTCTCATAGTTATTAGTTAGGAAATGAACATGACTGCTTAAATTCTCCTTCCTTCTACAACAGCTTTGAAACAGCTTGTACTACTAGGTACGACCAATCGGTTGTCAATCTTCTCGCTGCCAATGCCTTCTGGTATGACCGACACTACTATGTTAGCGAAATTGTCGATTTTTTCAACATCGTGCGAACTTGAAGTTAGGGCGACAGCATTTGAATCAGGGATGGTGCAGTAAGATGCCAGTCTAGGTATGTTAACTTTGTGCGCTTTTTACTTGCTTTCTTCATGATGGCGGGTGATTTTTTGAAATGCGGTTTTCTTTCGTTTCTTGTTGAGCTCTACTTACGCAGGTGGTTCCATGGATTTTTTTTCCCTGAATTTAGCAGGAACAAGTGGAGGGGGTATCGATACCATGCAATTCAGGAGGTTTCACAATCCTCACGAAAATTGAAAATATTATAATCGCTTCCCAATTAAAAATTGGAAATGCATGGGAAATGGGAAATACATGAAACGCTTTTTTATTCTTTTTTATTGCACGTTCCGAAAGAGAGTGGCAGGATGTGTCCACAATTGTTGATGCAACTAGGAGGGACAGGGTAAGCATGTCATCGAGACCACATCCACCCCTCGAAATTGACGGATCAAGAAAGGTCCTCAAAGTCAAGCAGTCAAGCAGATTCCAAAAGCCATAAGCTGAAATTCGTATTTAACTTGGGATGGTTATCTTGAATTAGCCTGTATTGAAAAATTTCATAATTTCGTCAATACTTTGTACAACCATTTATTCTGTTAAATATACGGAAGCATACAACGCGGTTGAGGATAAATGATAATAACTGATGGTATCCAAGTGTAAGAGAATTTGATAATAGTAAATGGCATCCAATCATGTTCAGGTAATAGGGTAAATTCTATCGAGTAGCAAGAAGTACTCTCAACCATGATTCTTAGTGTTTCCTTTCGGAAGCAAATGCATCTTCCGGATGGCCCTCCATGCTGAAATGACGTATTGACGTTTGCTTCATTTTCATTACTCAGGTTCTTAAGACGTACTATCTACTAAATCCTACTGTACTTTAGTTACGTATCATAAAACGGACTGAAAAATCTGTTTGTTCCGTTCCCGTAAGGAGGATATAGTTGTTTTGAATTGATTCAGCCATTTTCGGAAGTTATAATATTCTAGTCGATATTCTGCGAGCAAGGAGATTGGGATGTAGTGTAAATCATAGCAGCAATGATCGCGTATGATGTGGAAATGTCACGGACCACGTATAGCTCATTACTAACGGGCTACAGTCATTATTTTATTTGCCCAATCGATGGTTATTCATCATTGCCCGTCTGAATTTTACTCTTCGAATTCTAGAAGTACTCATTTCGTTTCCTGCAACTTCCTCGCTCTTCGTTGATTGCATCTTACTGTGACAACACTTTCAACCCATTTCTCATTGTGTTACATGATATCTTTCCATATTCCACCCTTTGTCCTCTGAACCCTTCCAGGGTATTCACTGCCTCCAAACATCGATTGTTGTCTTAACTGAAATAAGTTGCAGATCAACTCACAATGCTTGCGTGAAAAGTCTCTGGCGGTGTTTTGATGATTCGAGCAATTTGATGTCTTCGGCAGTCAGAGCAAAGTCGAATACATGTAATACAAGTATTAAGTGTAAGAATAGAAAGTTAACAAAATCGCCAACGTACTTGGAAATTCTCGACAATTCTCGAAGAATTGACAGATTTTGGAATGACGGCAATGTTTCGTTCAATCAAATAGCGCAGTAAGATCTGGAATCGACTATGCCAGGCAGTAAACTGGCGTGAAGTTGTATAACAAACCTGGGCTGGAGTTTTCTTGTATTTTGTGGCCAACTTTTTCACATTTTCATCTTCAAGTGGACTTGGTGCAGGTGGCCATTCAAGTTTCCTGAATGTAATCATCACCTGATTTTTTCCTAATCTTCTTGGTCATCTATGAAATGATTATCATTCTGTCGATCATTCGCCATATTCATATCCAAAAACTAGTGTCCTACTTTTATTGTACAATTTTTTTTTCGAAAATGACTACCTTTTTTTACAGTATAACTCAACATATTTTCTTTGTTGTGAATTTTTTTGGGTACAGTCAGTCTTCTAGAAGTCATAGATACGGAACGAAGAAGTAGCTCGAAGCCTTTTCTAAGTTGTTACATGAAGCTCGTACCTCAAGTCAATTTGACCTGCGCGTCCTACCTAGTAGTCGTTTTGGACAGGTAAATAGTCTATGGGAGCCTTCTCCTAGTCTAGGCTATGGAACAGGGTTGGGACTGATCGTGCTAGGACGAAACTAGTCAGAGTGGTATCCAGACTTTGTGTTAACTAAATATCCTCAAAGTCTAGATACCACCCTTTTGGTTAGTAGTAATAAAATGGTCAGTACAATTGCTATTTCCATGAACATTTCAATGAACTGAAATTCAAAAAAAAGGTTCACTGTTTTCGAGTAATGGGAAGATGGGTTTTACTCATGACGAGCCCATGCGCGAGCCCAGCTCTTGCGCGACCCTCTATTCTAGAGAACCGAGATGGTAGGTTTGATCTGTGGTTCCCGGAATAACTTCACGGTATTCCACCAGAGATACTTACGCTCCACTTGGAAGAGAGAAGTTGACGCGACCAGGTGATCCTAATGAACCATAAGATGTCAGCGAGATGTTATGCTTCTTACATACTTCATGTAATTCATGCTGGGGCCAGTAGAGGTAGAGCTCCACCTGAATCAGTTAAGTATATGAGCAGGGAATTTGGAATCAGCTTTGAGAAGTTGTTTGAAAAATCAAACCATACCTGTAAGTTGTGAATTGGGACGGTAGCAGTTTTAAGAACACGTTCAATTTGTTCAGCATTGGTATTGGAGAGACCGATCGCTTTGGTCAGTCCCTTTTTATATACACCTTCCAGACCACGCCATATATCTTGTACGGTCACAGAAGGGTTGTGTGCCGTCATGTCATGCTGCAAAGGCAGTTTATAGCTTCTATTTCGAGAGACTTCTCATAGAATTGGAAAATAGGTCTTGAAAAATTTCCTCATTTCGGTGGTTCGCTGGAATGTAAGCTCAAAGTTTTCTAAAAGCAGAACCTCTACATAAATTAGTAATTTCAATATAAATTTTATATGAATTTAAATTACTCTAATATAGAAGTTAGCATGTACTTGTATTTAACATGTATTTGTATCAACACTCATTATTTTTTTCCAGTGCATTTCGCTTCTCCAGACTCAAATAGTGTCTTCGATCACATGCCTGCAATTATATGGTATGCGACACCACCTGAGCCCTTGACAGGCTGTTGAGCAGACGCACTCACTCTATGTGAACCCAGTCAGTCTAATACAAACAGCAGAAAGTACCTCTTCAAAATTTCCTTTCCCTTCTGAAATCCTGGTATACCAAGGTTTTGCGCGTTCCCGTAATTAATCACTAGTGATTGGATCTTGTTCTCTATGGCCTCCTCTATCGTCATTGTTCCCATCCTACCCCCTCTACTTCTGTCTGAGCGAAAATCCATAACTCCCTCTCCCACGGGATCGGGAGTTATGGATTTTCGCTCAGACATTTATTTCGCACAAACCCCGCCCCCCAGTGGACGGAGTCCGCTCCTACTACCCACCATAAGTGTTCCCGTCCTGTCGCCTATACTCCTGCCAAATTTGAACGCCCTAGGGCCAAATTGACAATTTGTGCGCCAACCTCGATTTCTGTGGCCCGACCCTGCCGCCCACCACTAATGTTAAGTACCCTGCCTCGGATACTCTTACCAAATTCGAGTTTTCTAGGTCCACGGGGACAGGGTTATGATTTTCCGCCGGAACATTTCGTTCGCACTAACCCCGCCTCCTGTGGGCGGGGTCCGGTCCTGCCACCCACCATATGTGTTATCATCCTGCCGCCTGTGCTCCTACCAATTTTCAACGTCTTAGGTCCACGGGGACAGGAATTATGAATTTTCGTACAAACAGACAGACAGACAGACGGACAGACGGTCGGACAGACAGACGCGAGCGCTTTATATAAAGTAAGGATCACCATCCATTTGCTATTAGAGCTGATGACGGATTCATAGATAAGAAGTGATGTGTTTTGTTCAGAGACGCGAGGTTAAAAGAATGGGCGGGGTCTGCGAAGTTTAGGAGCGTTTTGAGGCGCTATCAAGTTCAAAAAAATTTTTTGTGTCATTTGAACTTCGGGAGGGTTTGTTTAAACAAATTTCGGTTTTATAAGTAATTTCAAGTGAGTATACATATTATACATATGTAGACTTAATTTCGGTTGTGGCATAATTCAATTAGTTGAAACAAATGAATAAATTGATTAGCGAGTTTTTTAATATTGGTTCTGCAGGACTTCATTTATATCTTTGATCAAGACCGTATGATTAAATTTTCCTCTGAGTCACTCACATTGAAGCAGGTCGGAAAATGTGCTAGGTAGAGATCGACATAGTCCAGTTGAAGAAGACGAAGTGATTCGCGAATACCTTTTTCGGCGTCATCAGGATGCAGATGGGTAACCCATAGCTGCAACAAATGAAGTCATTGAAATTACTGAAACTGAGAATCCTTGCAAATTCTTGACGTACGGCCTAAAGATCTGTAAAGTTTAAGTATAACCTTATGGGCTGGCTGAGCTCGCTCGGAGGATTTTATTTGTTCGATGCTCGACTGACACAACGATTGCAAAGTCAGTAGAACGTAGAGCTACTATGAGTTCCTGTTGTTGTTGTTCTAAACGTAGGCTGAGGAACTAGTACCTTTGTTGTAATGAACAGCTCTTCACGAGTGATTTTTCCAGCTTGAATCAATTCCTTGATAGCTTCACCGATAGCACCTTCATTTTCATAGCAAGTAGCAGTGTCGATTAAACGGTATCCTGCCTCGATAGCAGTTTTTACTGCGGCCTTCACTTCTTCTGGTTTGGACTGAAATAGTGTGATTAGCTATGGGAGTGAAGGTGTGTGTCATTAGATTCGGGGTTTGATTCTGCAAAGGGAAATTCAAAGCCAGCTGAACTAAGCAGATGTGTGGTTTGGCTGTCCATTGCGCGCCTAGTGACCGGCTTCCTCCAGATACACCCCTTCAGTGACTTTAATTCTCTCCCACAATCTTTTCTAATGACCCATTCAATGGGGTCAGTGGCTGTCACTGAGCTGTGCTCGTAAGCTCTAATATCATTTAGTCGGTATCATACTGCTCCCCCCCTACTTCCTTTTGAAACATTTCTCCTAGTTCTTCGCGATCAGCAATCAGTACATGTCCGAAACAGAGGGGATCATTCTGACATCGGTTACAACTGAATCAACCATCTCACCTGCCACGTTCCTAGTCCAACCTGCGGCATCTTCGCACCGCTGGATAGCGTGATTGTTGGTCCTCTGATAGTCATTGTTCCCTTCAAATGTTCATTGTTATTGAATTCAGCAAATCAGAGAACTCAAGGATACATCTGTTGGGTAGTTCTGAGATCTACAAAGAGGAGATCGTTGGGACCGAGGTCATCTTATGGCTGTTTGGATGGCCTACCAGAGCTCACCGATCTGAGATTATCAAATGACCTCTGCGTTTATGGGGATCACCTCTTTTTTAGAAGACCTTTAACAGAGACATAGGGGTGCACTTCTATTCTGTCGTCGATCGCCGCTCTATTCGCCGCGCAGGAAGCGCGCAGCGGACCACATCGTTTTTTCCTTGCTACGCTTTAGTTCGAATTTTTCCCCAGCGCGAAGGTATTTGAATGCAACTTAGAACGAGCTATCGGAAATGAGTGAGATCTTTTTGGAAGAAGCAAAGCGAAATGGATTAAGACGTGTGAGTTTTTAAGTGGAGAAATTAGAGGAATAAAAAATTGAGGGCATGAGTCGAAGAAATGAGGAAGTTTTCTTATTGAAAACGTGCAAAATAGCTGCAGCACCGATGTTGTATTCGAATGTTCGCGTACGGGAAAATAATTTAAACCGCCAAACTATTGCTTCATTCAATCGTGCCCGTCTCGGTATCGCATGGCGTGTGCTATGTAACCTAGTTTTACTAAAGATAGGATCGGTCGTCCTCTGAGGCGTAAAGACATCCTGCCGAAACTCTCCATTCTCAGCTCCGAAACTATGGCTACATTCATAGATGGCATAGTTGGCGATGTGGCTTATTTGGCGGTTCCGTTACCACATTACAAGCGTGCACCGCACAGAACTGGCAGATGAAAGGAGTCGATCGTGATAGAAGTAAAAGGAAGAATGTGAAAAACGGTGAAATGTCCACTGAGACGGTAATCAATCAACTGCCGTCCCGTTTATGATTCTTCTGCAATTTATTTTTACTTCACAGGCAATTCCTTTGGTTCACGCGATGATTCAAAGGCAAATGGCAGAACGATTTTTGTCGGCACTGATGCTCGGCGTATTCTGACTATCTGTAATCGGACAAAGAGATACCCACTAACTCCTTCCATTTCTCTTTGCCCCGTTCCTGCCCAACTCTCACCGATAGACGGGAACGGTGAAAGCAGCCGAGCCGTGGCGCAAGCTTGACTCTATTGCACAATCAGAGGAGAAGGAGAAAAATTGGTGGCTTCCGTTGTTTTTTCTTCAATGTGAACGAAGTAGTGGCTCATGCATCAGCTCTTCATGCAAGAATCGCGGTTGTCATGGAAACAATCGATGAAAAGTAAATGATCTAACGGCGAGGCATCAAAAAGATCGTCGACAACAGATGAAGGATGCGGTTACTATCACTTATAGAGCAGCAGTAGTCTGAGTGGTCTACAGAAGAAAGGCTTTCTTCCGAGTTCACGGTATCAAACTTAGCTAGAGATGAATGCTTCTCCCAGTGAGATATAAGTAGGATCAGACATAGAAGCGCTCATTACGAGATTTAAGGTGGAAGGATCAGTAAAATTGAGATGTGCTGTAGAGATTCTCTAAAGCATATGGCCCGAAATGAGATCGTAACCTATGCCTAACAAAGCTTGGGAATAAGCCCAATTCCCTGCTACATTGATGTGGAAGGACCCGAAGAGTGAGAATCATGAAGATATCAAGATCCCTACTCCTACTAGTATTCGCTAGGAAAGTGGACCAATTTGTAGTTGAGTGAAGCGAAATTCGTGGTAGCACCAGACAGAGCACGGGGGCAAGACCAGTAGCGAAAACAGTAAAAGTGGAACGATAACACAGGGTCTGTCTGCTGCAGCGCGTTTGCATTCAGTGAATAAAAGTGCTAATCGAGTGCATTGAGTCATCGACACCCTTCACATTGTCTCGGTTATTTCCAGAGTTCATATTCAACATCAAACTACAGAATTATTAGCCCAAATACCTGACTGTACTGGCGAAGCACTTTAATCTAGTTTACTTTTAGTTAAGGAAGAATGTTAGGAGCTGATTATTATCTCAAAGGGTTCATGGAACTGTACTAACCAACCAGGCTGAACACGACTTGTAGGAAGTTATAGTAATGATCAGTAATATTGTTAATCGGTATGATTTCTTGAGTGTATTTTACCCATCACAAAGACTGTTGATGGTTAGCTGCAGAAGCATGTGTTGTTTTCGTTTCGAAAATCTTTTTTGGTTATCGAAAAAGTTGTTGTCCAAGGGGTGAATCGGGGAGGAAGGGAGGGAGGGAGGAAGGGATGGAGGGAATGAGCATAGTCGATGTTCGGCATATTCAGTACCTACCATAACTGAAGCGACGTTCGAGGATTTCAAATGAAGATGTCTTCGCTCAACAGGATGGCTAATATTAGGTTGGCGACTAAGCACTTGTGTATATTTGAAGGAAATATCTCTCTTTTTCACAGAGAAAAACAAGTATTTGTTCGGGCACATTGACCATGGAATACTCAGGCAGAATACTTTTTTCAAAAAGTATTCTTGTATTCTATGGTCGGAATGTGCCGGAACAAAAATTTTGCTTTTTACTAGAATATTTTTTTAATAGAAGTCCGTATCCTAGGTTTACAAGGTTATGGAGAATGGTCCGCGATTTGGTGACGAGTGGGAAGCTTCACACACTCTCTACCAATTGTGTAGTCGGATAAACCTATTCCTCGCCCTTCCTTTTTTTCATATTCCTTCGGTGGCTTCCGTCCGTCATATGGAGTACATCCGGATGTGTGGATGGAGAGTCTAGAGGGTAATGATGAAGTTGTGAAGTGGTTAGTAGGGTAAAATCAAATTACCATAAATTACAGAGTGCGTCATACAAAAAGCGTCCATTAACGTGCTGATAGAATGAAAGAGGGGTCGAAATATTGTAGGAGAGGGTGTCAACAGACACACATGTTCCCATGCATTTGAAGATTTATTAACTACAAAATAATTTACTAGGAAGGAACGTAGCTACACAATTCATTCCTTAACAAGATCGTAGAAGACAGCATGATATGAATCGATACCTAAATATCGGACTTTATTAATGCTTTCTCTCGGCGGCGAATGGATCTTCTGGGTGGCCTTCCATGCTGTAACAAAATAGGTTAAATACCTGCAAATCGTTCAATTCAGAAATTCCCCTTAGAAGGTATAGGTTCGTCCCCTTAAAATGAGAGGATTTTAGATAGCTCTCTTCTGTCAACCTATTTCTTGTTCTAAGTTCTAGCTCCAGCGTTCTAAGCTCTAGCATGTGTACGAAACTAATGTATCAGAGAACCATCCCAACTTCATCCTCGTGTCATACCGTTTCTTCTGGAGACTACGTGTCTGTTTCGGCTAATACAATTCAGGCAATGCCTCGAAACTTGTTGATTTTATGAAACCTTTCTTTCTCACCACTTCCACATCATGCTAACTTTCCTTTGGCCTCGAAACTCTGATTTTTGGGAGAGCATACATGCGGTCTCAGTCATCTCACATTGCAAACTAATGTAGGGGGAGTAAGAGAGAAAACTCACAAATCTTGCAGGAACAGTCTCTGCCGGTGTTTTGTAGATTCCAGCAATTTAATGTCATCATCAGTCAATTTAAAGTCGAATAGCTGCAAAATTGGTTTGCTATTCAAAGAGACGGTATATATATACATCATGATTAAAATACCTGGAAATTTTCGACGATTCTTGATGGATTCACTGATTTCGGTATAATGGCAATGTTACGATCCATCACATAACGAAGTAAAATCTGAAATANCCTCTGGAATGGTGGTCCCATACCTGAGCTGGGGTCTTAGAGTATTTCTTGGCCAACTCCTTTACGTGTTCATCTTCTAGTGCATTCGGTGCAGGTGCCCAATCCAGTTTTCTGTAAACGATAGTGCTACACTAGATGTACATAAGGCCTCCGCAAAGACGAATCAGATAAGAATTAACAAAAGTTATTCAAAAGTCATCACTTTGGACCAGCAACTTTAGATAAGGAAGATAAGGGTAATAAAACGAGCCCAGCGATATCGAAATGTCATCATGAATTTTCAATCTTCGGCTGTTGGAGGAAGTTGTATAGTAGACCATTTCTCTGACCCTTTCTGTTTCATTTCCAAAACTATTTCCAGCGAAAATCAGAATTTGGTTTACGGGTAACCCTTAGGTTTAGTAAGGCCAAGTGTCCGCAACCTAAACTATTTTGTTTTCCGTGGCTAGCTCTATAGCTTCTTAGGATAACGGTCAACAAAAAAAAAACAAGTAAAAAAATAAATTTTTTTCGTTTACTGGAAACTGGTTGCCAGACTTCTGAGAAGTGAACCACCAAAGGAAAACACTCATAAAGAGCCTGGACTTACTGGGTGCCTGGCCACTCCTACACTAGATTGCTTACGATTGGTGCCCAAGCATTCGTCCTTCAGAAGCAAAGCTACCGAAGTTTTCTATGAATTGTAATACTGAATAAAGCAAATTGATTTCTTTACATAAAACTCACACTCCTCCAGGAAGAGAGAAGTTGACTCGTCCAGGTGACCCTAATGATGCATAGGATGTGAGGGAAATATTGTGTTTCTTGCAGACCTCTTGTAGTTCATGCTGTGGCCAGTAGAGGTAAAGCTCAACCTAAACACCAAAACATAATATATGTGAAGTCATCCTGCTGTAAAATACTAACCAAATCGTACCTGGCAATTATGAATAGGCACGGTGGCGGTTTTCATGACCCGTTCGATCTGCTCACCACTCCAGTTAGATACGCCAATAGCTTTAGCGAGCCCCTTCTTGTATACACCCTCCAAACCACGCCATACGTCTTGTACTGTTACTTCATGGTTCTGCGCAGACATGTCATGCTGGAATCAGTGGAAGTGGTTGTAATAAGGTGTTTATTATCAGAACAGAAGTGTTGGGACCATTGATAGAGCCCCTGGAAACGTAGGGGATATTCTTCTTTTTGCCCTAAAATCACTCACATTAAAACAAGCCGGCATATGGGCAAGGTAGAGATCGACGTAGTCGAGCTGAAGAAGTCGAAGTGATTCACGCAGGGCTCCCTCTGTGTCATCCGGATGCAAATGGGTAGCCCATAGCTACAAGGTGAAATTCTTGGTTCCAACATCATTATGATCTAAACATGTAAGGTGGAAAATGCCAGTACCTTAGTTGTGATGAACAATTCTTCGCGAGTAACTTTTCCTGCTTGAATCAACTCTTTGATGGCTTCGCCGATAGCGTCTTCATTTTGGTAACAAGTAGCCGTGTCTATGAGACGGTAACCAGCTTCAACTGCAGCTTTGACGGCTGCTTTAACTTCAGCGGGGCTCGACTGAAACAATGAATAGGTTTTAGGACGTAAGAACTCGAGTAGTTTAAATTCCACGATTGTACCACGAGCTTTTTCGACTTTAGGTTTTATCAACTGCTATTATATCGCCGCATTACACGATCCAAAAGTCGCAAGGTTGGCGAGTTACGGACAAAACTTCAAACTTGGCTGGGACTCTTTCGAGTCTCGTCTAACAAGAAGGTCGAAGGTTTGCCCGAAAACTCGTCAACCTTGTGAAACTCCTTCGCTTGTTACTGATCTGAAGAAATCATTTGAGATCACTACTAGGGAGGAAGAAAGCCACCTTACACTCAACGAATGCCCTGGTATGCTCTCACATAACCTCCATGTTCGCTTTTGTTGAAAGATGGGCATGGTGGGAAACGATGGTGACGTCACGACTCACGACGTGGGAGATCGGCAGTCTCCCCCGCTTTATCTCTTCAAAATTGAGCAACCCCTCGGGGTTGGTGGAATTCACTGTTGTGGCTATAAGTGGCTTGTTGGGGTAGGTCTGTGTAAGGCGTGGTAGGGATGCTTCAAAAATTTGGAAACCCTTCAGACCTTTGAAAACGGCGCAGTTATCGTAACGTCACGCAGAAGAACTAGTATCATTTCGAATCTAGTCAGCGCATAAGCAGAGTGATTCATTACTGTTTAGATAGTTATGGGAGCGTAAAATTCGGGGTGATATGGACGTAATGCTACACTTTATTTTACGACAGTCTCCGATAGCTCCTATTTAGCCAGCCTTTTGATGTGTTCCGTAGCACCGTATACATTGCCTTATTACAACAGAGCTATACGATCTCATAGAACTGAATTTTTATAAAACAGTAATTCGTATGCTCACCTGCCATGTTCCTAACCCAACTTGGGGCATTTTCACTCCATTGGAAAGTGTGATCATTGGTCCTCCGACGGTCATGGTAACCTTGAAAACATGGAAATTCGATTTTTCCAAGGTTTACATGGTAACGACAAACGAAAACTAGAGGGTATGTGGAATGATGACTGACTTGGAGAATATGGAATGTAAAATTGCCGATAAAGTGATAAAAAGTGATCTAGATTTTGCCGAAAAAGTGATAAAGTAGCAACAAACAATGAAATTGTCGCTTCGTACGGTGTCCAAGTGTACTAGAACTATTCGTTCTCTTTTCT